GAGTATCAAATTCTGAGAGAACACCCTTTCCTCTTTCTCCACCCTAAATCCTCAATTTTGTACTGTAGTTGGATACACTGAATTTGCTTTGTAATACATAGCTGTAAGTCAAGAAAGATACTCTACAACACTGCTTCTTTCACATTGTTACTACCAGTGTCTATACCTATTTTCAGCATTAAAATATTAATGATTAAAAAGCTCTAAATTAGGTAAAAAATGTAGAGACATGTTAAGCACTTCATACTGATGGTCACAGAAACAGCATTTGAAGAATTCTCAGTACCATTAACTAGTTTAAGTTAGTTCTGCACATCTACCCTGGTACATTAAAACTACCAACATATGGTGAACTGCTATTAATTTATCAAATTTCTATGCATTCCAGGGTAATGTTACTTCAGTCAATAAAAATAATAGATCAGTTTAAGAAGTAATCAGAAAGGAACTTTAAAATCTGAATTCTTACTAACTATAAAAGAGATCTCTAAACCATAGAAGGCAGATTTGGAAAAACATACAATATCATTCCTTTGTACAAAATGATTAATCTTTCTTTCTTAATGACCCTTTTTTCTAACCTAAAAGTAGTTAATGTGATTTAATTTTCACAACTGTGAGTCACTGGAAAACTCTGAGATTTCTTCCCAAATCTTTAACCACAAGGCTATCCTAGGGAACAAGTTTCTTTGGTCACACTTGCAGAAAGGGTACAGATCATTTGCAAGCACATGCTATTCAACACAGAGGGCTATCACAACTCCTGCTCAACTTCCACAAATTCACAGAAAATATGTGCTGCAATAGCCTCCATCCAAGTTCAGTACCCCATTTTCCCTCTCAAGAACTGCATACCTGTACTAAGTTTTCAATCTAGAACTAAGTACAAAGACTCCAAAAACAAAGCAAGTGTAAAGGCAACATTGCAACTCCTCATAAAGCTATTAAATTGCCATGTTAAAAGGTGATGCTAATTTTTTAAAATAGGACATTCAAAAATAAAATTAAAATACATAGGAGATAATAGAGACAAGCAGAGCATTTTGCATCATCACAGTTAAACATTTACAAGTTAAAAATTAAGAAAAAAACCAGTATCAGCCAGAACCCATGCTAAAAGCACACATGCATACACACATGCATACATACGCATGACACTAGACTACAGTTAGGATGACTTTTCTTTCTTTAAATAAAGCCAGAGGCAATTCTTCCAAGTGATGTTATAACTACACAGCTAAGGTGTACTTGTAAAGAGCCCCTACTTTGGCCAATTAAAATCTACAGTTATTTTTCAGTATTTTCAAAACCTTTGGGGATGGTTTAGGAGATTTAGGCATAGAACAAACTTTTGAACAAACTCACGTGTTCCCAACAAAACTGAATGTATTCAAAGTAAAAATAACGCACTTCACAACTTTCACAAAATGTCTGTGAAATTGCCCTACACACAGGGAATTAATCTCCTCCCATAGAATTCACAGCTACCAGAACAGCACTAGATCTTAATATTAAACAACCTGAGACTATTTCATTTCTGCAACATACATTCCAAAAAACACTCTCCAAAACACAGCATTTTAATTAACACACCAAGAAAACTCTCCTGAAGACCTGCTACACACAAAAGAATGGCTTTGATCTCAACGATTCTGCACGTTTCCCCCTGTTATCCTTCCCTAATTTATCAGATTAGGGTCGATTTGATACCTTTCCATTAAAAAAAACCCAAAGAACCACCCCTCTGCTAGAGGCAGAGGTGCTGCAGAGGTGATGATAACCCTAGGAAAAGAGAAGCTGTCTCTTTAAAATGCCTAGCTATGTCCCTGATCCCACGTGGAACCAACATCAGCAGCACTTTCGCATTAACTTCAATGTGAGGCGAGATGAGGCATCACTATTTCATATAAATAAAACGAGGAGACTGCAGAATACATTCTTTGTAGGAGACAAACAGGTGAACCGAACGTGCCAGGGAAATCAGCAACCACCCGCAGAAGAGGTGCCCTGCCCCCGAGCCCTCTCTGCTCTCCCTATGGAGCACTAGCTCAACCCCACACCACTCTGAAGGATCCAGTTCAAATAGAGGAGTGAGCCACCAAGAAAACTTGAAATTCAAAGGCAACGAAAATGCACTTTATAAACCGGAAAGGTTTACTCTTTGCCTCACACATCCTAATTAGATCAGGAAAGTGACACTACAAAAGCATTACATTACGGTCCGAAAAAAAAAAAAAAAAAAAAAAAAAAAGGGGGGGGTAAGAAAAAGACAGAGGAAAAGAAAGGAGCCCCCATCTCCCCAAATCCCCCAAAAACACACACAAAAAATAAGCATTAAAAAAGGAAGTTATAAAGCACCACATCCAGCATTTATCTTATCTAGGATCATTCCACATTACCCCCAAGTTATACACTTTCTGCACCATCATCTCCCCCTACCTCTCTGTCCTGAAAGGGATTTTCACGTTTTCTCATTGTCGGTGGCGAGTTATAAGAGGCTTTTGCCTTTCCAAAGAATTCATCAACAAAAAAAAAATAATAAATATTAACTCCTTGCTCCCTGAAACCTTAAAACGGTCTCGGGAAGACACGGGTTTTATACTGTTACCTTGAGGAAGAAAAGGGGGAGCAGCCCCGATTTTTAGGTATTTTTTGGCTTTTTTTTCTGATTTTTATTTTGTTATATGCCTCAGTTCTCCCTCCATTTTGGTTGTTTATGATACTGACAACAAGCTGTCCCTGCTCTCTCTCTCTCTCTCTCTCCGGATCTCTCCTGCTTTCAGTTAGCAAACCCCCCTCCCCAATGCAACACGACTCAGCACTTACTTGGGTTCACACTTTTCTCTAAACACACACCGATGGGGAAGGGAAAAGTTCCTGGGCTACTCGGAGGGGGAGAGCAGGCAAATTCGTTTCTTTATTACGAAAAAAAAAACTTTTGTCCAAAAAACGACGGGAAAGGGGGGTCGAGTGCCCCAAAGTCACTCCGGATCCCCCCAAAGACGCAGCCGCCAGGTCCGGGGGACACCCCACGGGTAGCCGGGTCCACGGGGGAAATTTCTGTGCGAAATTTGTCCGGTTTGAGGCGGTGGGCGAATTTATATTAATTTTTTCCCTCATTTTTCGGCACCGCGGTCTCTAATGTCTTCCGCTCCCTCTCTCGCCGCTCTCGCCGCTGTCACTGCATTCACAGCACAGGCTCCGGAGAGGCGAGGAGGGGAGGGGGCGGCCGCGCCGCTCCTGCCCCTGCCCCGCGGCCCCGGGCCCGGGCCGCCGCGGGGGTCGGCGGCGGGCACCCCGCGCCCTCCTGCCGTCCCCCGGGCAGCCCCGCCGCCTCGCCCGCTCCTCGCGAACCAGCAGAGCGCCGCGGGGAGGGAGGGGAGGAGTGGAGGAAACTCCTGAGTGAGGTTTTTCTGAAAATCATCTCTTTCTCCCTCCGAGGGAGGGGAAGGGGGGGTGGGGGGGGCACCGCTCGCCTCGCCTCCCCTCCCCTGCTTTTCCCCCCGGGGGGTCCAACGCGGGGCGGCGGGGGGCTGCGGGAGATGGGGGGAGAGGGATGGAAGCGAGGGATGGTTAACACAAACTTTTCCTCACTGCTCGCTGCTCCTCTCTGCTCTCCCCCCTCCTTCTCCTCCTCCCCCTTCATAATTTAAATAACCCTGATATTTCCCTGCTAAACCCCGGCGCTTGCCCCCCAAACCCGCAGCAGACTCACCGCGGGAGCCTCAGCATCCCCTCTGCGCCCCGTTTCCACCCTTTACAGTGTTCTCCGATTTTTCTGTAATTTTTTCCCCATATTTCGGGCTGGACGCGGCGGGCCTGGAAATTGTTTGCTTTCCCGTCTTTCCAGCAGCCATTGTAGTGTATGCGCTGCGGTGCAGCCCAGCCTGCCGCACACGCCGCGCCCACACCGCCCGCCGCCCACACGCACCGCGGGTTGGACGCCTCCCCCAGTCAGTCAGGGCCGCGGCCGCGCCCCGCCGCCGGCGCCTGCGGCCCGCGCCGCCCGCCCCGTTGGTGGAAGGAGGCGCCGCTCACGGCCGGGGCGGGCGCGGCGCCGCCGCCATTGGCGGCCCGGCCGTGCCACTCAGAGCCGCCGGGGCGTGGGCGGCGGCGGCGCGGGGCCGGGGGGAGCCGCGGGGCCGGGAGCGGGGTAGGCTGCGCCCGTACTTAAGCGCGCTGCCCGAGCCGCTGACGTCTTTCGAATTGGAGACGGGCTGCCCCGCTCCCGCCCCGGGCTCCAGCGGACGCGGCCGGGGACGGAGGTGAGTGCCGCCGGCGGCGACCCGCGCTGTGCCCGTCCGCCGCCTCCCTTTCCCGGCCGGCGGAGGGAAGTCTCGCTCGACCTTCGCCGCCCGCGGGCCGGGGCGGCCCCGCTCGGGCCCGGCGGCGGCGCGGCCGGGCACCGCTCCCTGGCGGCAGGTGGTGCCGAGGGGAGGCGGCGGGAGCGGCCGCGGGGACCGACGCGGGGCGCGGAAAGGGGTCGCCGGGCGCCTCCGGCCGCTCCGCCGCCAGCGGAAGGCAGGGACCGGGCGAGGGGCGCCGGCCTCGCCTCCGCACCCGGGCGGCCCCCGGCCCTCCCCGGGAAGCTGAACTGGGCGAGGCGGCAGCTCCGCGGTGCTCCGCGTCAGGGACCGCCGCCTGCTTCCTTCTGCCTCCGCCGCTGTAACGGCCCAAAATGCCGTAGGATATTTAGTACGGCCTTGGCTCCCGGGTTCAAAGTTTTACTGAGCTGGTCTACATTGCGGCATAATTAGCGAATTTGTATCTATATGCGTGCCTTTAAAGCAGACCAAATTATTTTCAATGGGCAGGAGCCTGTAGCAAAGTGCCCTGATGGTTTATGAACTGAAAAAGCCCTAGGGTTAAAGAGGACCAGCAACAGCCCTGGTTCTCTGTGGTACAATTTATAACTGTTAATGTGTTAAAGCATAATTAAGAGCTGTGGAATAGACAAGCCTTCGGTTGTGGTTGGGCTCTGACCTGTAATCTGAAAGCAGGAAGGGAAGCCCGTACATGCGGAGAACCTGGGAGGAGGGGGAAGCTCGCTTCCTGCCCAACTGCTCATTCAGTCGCACAGCAGCATTTCGGCGTGACCCGCCTGCCCTTCCAGCTGATAATGTTTCAAGTCTGAAGTACTTCGGAGAGGGGGAGAGAGCAACACGCGCAGGAGCTATCAGACCTTTTGGGTAGTACTAAGAATGCTTAAGCGTTTGCCTGCTCTGCATTGTGCAACTTCATTAGAACCTGAACTGCTTATTCCTTAAGTAGGTGTTTAATGGATTGTGTGCATTGTTCCTTAGACCGGGCACGGTTGCAGACTCTGGTAGCATAATCAAACTGAAAGTGTCAGGTACAGTTTGTATAAGGAACACTGGTTATGATGGCCCGTCCTATGACTCACAAGTATTCATTCAGAGAGTAAGTAATGAAGTCAGTGTGACACTGTACACCTTGAGGCATATCTGCTTAGGCAGCAATATCAGTGCAATGCGGAGTTATAACACAGATAAATGCAAACATCTAAAAATCTTGTATCTGTTGTGGTGAGTTAGGTGAGGCATTGTGCTATGATGCTTTTGCTTCCTACTTCTCCCTTCCCTTCTCCTTCCTTGAAGTCCGTAATGACGCTAGTATACCAGCTTGTGTTTCCATTTGAGTTGGAAGTACCTGATCAAAAATGCACTTCCACCCATCAAAAAGCATTTGCCTGGCTTGTGAAATTAACTTAAGTGATGCTGGATAGTTCTCAAAGGAAAGTGAAAGCATTTCCCTCCGTGCTGTTAATTAAAGGCCCATTTGCAGAAGATGATAATTTGGAAAGCAAAGAGTACTCCAAGCACCAGGAAAGTATACATGCACAGCTTGTAAAGCCTAAGGCTTGTTTGCTAGGAATAGTTTATTGAAAGAGGAAACCCCATCTAAAACATGGTTATCTATGAGCTACAAAGAGCAGTATTATTTTTTTTTTTTTTCATCTGGTATTGAGCAAAATGGGTTTTTACTGCAGACTTGCACTTACCATTCTCTAATGTGCACGGAAACAGGTCTTAGTTAAGAATTAGCACTGATTTTTTTTTTTTTTTTAACAAAGTGAAAAACAAGATTGTGTCCTTCATTAGCAGTACTTTAATTTGCTTTCTCTGTCCTGTATTTCTGATTGCATTGATTCGAGCAGTCATCTGGTCAACATTAATTTATTTTTTGTTAGATTTAGTATTTGTTTGGAACACATACCTGTATTGCCATATATGTGCTGGAGGCAATGTATAGGAAGCTGTAAAGGGAAAGAGGGTCTGCTGTTCATCTTGATGTCATCATCTTGGATCAGTGTAGAGTCTTGGCACTGAACTCTGTGTGTCTCAAGCTTACAGAGTCAGTGTCAAACTACTAAATGGTAAAAAACATGATCCAAGCTGTTGTACACAGTGTAAGTGGGTCTGGTCCCACCTTGCGGTGAAACCAGTTCTTTATCTATTAAATATTTGCTATAGCAGCACAGGAGATAGTTGGGCACTTGTCATACCTGGGAAAGCTCAGTGACAATGCAGACATGATCCAGCTAAGAAGTAGGAACAAATCTGGAAAAGTTTACTTGTGCATTCCTCCCACATGCTCTTAATTGAAGTGTCTACAGTGTGTTGGCTGTGAACAGTTTCTATGGAGCTGTTTCTCCTACACGTGGTCGCTTCCTCCATGATACACAGGCTGGTGTGAGAGCTGCTGCAGTGGCTCCATTCTCTGCAGGAATTTCACAGAGTGAGCGGTCTTGGCAATGGGCTAAACTTGCCAGTGTTGTCTTGCTGTTACTGCTTTTGAAGTAACCCTTTGCAAAAAAGGTTGGGTTTTGCTTAGTTTTTTTTTTTTTTAAAGATAACAAAACTGTGTGTTACTAGAAGGCCTTTATTACATCCTGAATTTCAGACTTTATCCTGAGTTACTGTTAAAAGTAGATATTTAACCTGTTTATTTTCCATTTCTAGCCAAGGTACGAGTGTCTGTCTAGAATGTCCAGGCATGCAAAAAAGCTTAGAGATCACGATATAAATCCATGTCTAGCGGTAAGATGATCAAATTGAGTTTTGTCTGTACATTTCAATGTTATATAATGCGCTTTCTAGAGGACTGTTTTGTGGATAGCACACTGGCATTATAGCACTTCGCATTAGAAGTTTCTTAAGAGTCTGAAGATGGGAAGGGCTGAAAATCATCCATTATAATAAGTATGAAATAACAAGTTAATTCCCCATAAATAGGAGTAATACAATTGATAGCAGTCTCTTAAGTTTTCTGTCTCTAAAACCAGAGCCTGAAATCCTGGTTTGACAAGCTTGGTTATTTTTTAGAAGTCTTTTGTGAGTTATACCAAGCATCATTGTTAACAAATACTCTGTGGACTCTGCTCTTACTGTCTGAAGAGGACTAGTCTCTGTTAATGCTAAGTGAAATCACTGCTTGGAAGTACTGACGATCCTTTGTAATAGGTGTTCCTTTGCTCTCTTTGATAGTATTCTTTCATCTGAAGAGCCCACTCCTATCTTCATAGATATTCTGCGACTTGTTAAAATATTTAAACACTGAGTACAGTAACTTCCCTCAGCTCTGAAGTATATTTTCTCCTATTAAAGGAAACAGATGCCACTACAAAATGTATGAATGACAACAACTATAACAAGGATATGTGTACTGATTATTTTTTGAAGTACAGAAACTGCAGAAAATTCTGGGTAAGCACAGTAAACTTTCTAAATTTTACTCCCTGCTTTGCTTTATGTGAATTAGTTCTGACATGCTGCTTTCTGAACCCTTCAAACTGAGCTAATGATGTTTTTACAGTAACTTGCCAGTCCAGGTAGTATCAGTATACGTTGCTGGAAGACTTAAGCACACGCACATCATAGTACTTCACTTGATTGTTCTGGGTTTACTCTCTTAGATTGTGAGTGTTCTTGCAGTACTTGATGTTTTCCTTTGAACTTGAGTCACATATTTCTAGTAATAAGTTTTCTTTTGAACTGATGCAGTGAAAAAGTTCTGAGGCAAGGTAAGGTTATTTGGTTTCCCACTGGCTTGTATCATGTTTACTTTAACCTGATATAAAGCTTATTTGATGGTAGAGAAGTATCATGAGGATCTATGTGCAGTTAAACTTTTCTCTGCTGTTTCTTTATATCATTGAAGTAAAGAGGTTTTAGCTTAGCTTTTAAAGACTTGCACAAATTAAAAAAAAACTTTATAGACAATTTAGACAAGTGTGCATTAGTCTGGCATAAAGACTTGCACTGTATTCTGAAGCAGCAAGGTAAACTATCAGGTATCTTGAACTAACTACTAGAACGTTTAGTCATCAGCTAGTCAGGCTTTTAGAGTACCTGGGTCTTGATATACAAAGCATTTTTCTATTTAAGAACCTTATTCATTCAGAGCTCAGGAGCAGAGATTCTGGGAAATCTGTTCTCATGGTCACTTTGTTCTATTTTCAGCATGGAATTATGATGCAAAGGAAGAGAAGTGGTGTGAAACCAGAGATGCCCCCAGCAGAAGAAAGAAAGAAAATCTTGGAATCAATGGGGAAGCCCTACTGACTAGAAACCTGAACTGGTTGACTGTTGTCACTGTATATATGAAGACTTAGGAGCAGCAAGTCACCATTTTATGAACTGGATTTTACAGTTGCCATATGTTGGATTAAAATAAGATCTTAAATTTTGAAATGTGTGAGCTTTCCAGGATAGAACTTCCTAGGTTTGTTCATACTTCCTGTCATAGGAACCTGGCCTCTTTCTATTGGAAGATACACATATCAGTGTAACTTGTGTAGGAACTTTTGGAAGTAGAAACTACCTTGCTGTGAAATGCTAAATAGAAAATTAACGGGACTTGCAGAAAGTCTGAAAAGATGGGATTGGTGAGCATTGCAGTGTGGTTCTAAGTTCTGAGACTGGAGCAGGTTGAGAAGCTGGTACGTGCAACATGTTCCTTGCACTCAGCTGTTCTGCTCAATAGTATGTATTTACCATGTGTGATTTTATCACTGTTCTCACATGTTGAATTCTGTGTCCCCAGTTTTAATAAGACTTCATGAACTAAAATCCTAAATCCAACAAGCTTGTCATTGGGTCTGCCACTGCACTTGTCAGTGACAGCAGAAGCTTGCAGTAAATCAGATCTGCAAGCTTCACTAGTTAGAAGCTTGCAGATCTGAGAGAGTGGTGTTCAACTAGCTTCACTAGTTAGAAGCTTGCAGGTCAGAGTTCACCAGAGAGACTGGTGAAGATAAAACTGAACTCCTCAGGTCTGAGCTGCATAGTAATTTCTGTGGATAGTAAATAGATACTTTGGTGGCGGGCAGGCAGGGGGGACTTGCAGACATGTAAACAGATCCTCTGAGTGACATGGCAGGTTTAACTATAGTACATCTATCTAAGACTCTGGACAGCTGAAACCTGGGGTTTGGAAATGCTTACTCATATGAGATTACAAAGCTCAGTTTAAACAGGTACTCTAATCTTAAATAAGGTTGATTCTTTAGCTAAATTGAACAACTAATAAATGTAAACATGTTGCTGTCTATTGGAGACAGTGTTTTTTACCTTTTACCTTCTGGTGTCCTGGCTTAAAGGCTTATATCCTGTGATAAAACAGAAAAACTACTGTCATGAGCTCAGGTTCCATGTGAAATCCTTTAGTTCTTACTGGGATCAACTTGGCAGAACTCTGGCTGACCTCATGAAGGATGGTGTAAAAATGATGTCTCTCTATTTAGACTGTTTTGGAAAGACTTCATGGCTTTATGTTTCTCCTGTCTGGCTTGTCTTGTTTCTTTCCACTGTAGGCCTATTTCTATGCTTGCTGAGTTTTTGATGCTGTTTCCTTGTTTGATTTGACTAGTAACTCCACAAAATCTGCTTTTGCTTTCTGCTCTTCCTTTCTGCTCTCTATCTACATCTGAGTTTTGAAATGGGTTGATCCTACCATCTCTGGAATGAGTGTGTAACCCTATGCCTTTTGAGTATGCAATGCTCCAAGCAAAGCTGTACAGCCTTCAAGCATGTCACAAGTTCTCTTGTCAGTTCCTGGCAAGGAAGATTTACTTTCTTCCATCAAGACCATAAGATCCTTTATTTCAAATAACTTTGCCTTTACCTAAAGTGCAAACTTAGACGTTTTCCTCATTTTGTAGGTATTTTTTTGTTGTTGTCTAGTTGGTGGGGGGTTTTTTGTTTGTTTGTGGTTTTTTGTTTGTTTTTGTTCCCCTGTGTGTGGAGCTGAAGATACTTTGATTCTACATTCAAGGGCTTGCTCTTTCTGCCACATTCTTGCTACCTTTTAATACCCTCCTACATACCAATCTTGCCTTTTTTTGTGCCTGTTTGGCACCAGTTCTTTTTTGACTGATTTTAATATTTTGGTCTCTTATTGCAGTGTTTTTCTAGTACCTTTGTTCTGCCTCTGATCTAATGATGTAGTCATTTCTAACACAGCTCCTTTTGAAAGTTGTGTGTTCTCTGTTCTCTTTCATAGTGAGAGAACTTCTTGCTTTCATTAAACTTAGCCATAATGCTTCCTTATTAACCATGCCTCTCTTTGATCTTCTTATTCAGCTGCAGATTTTGGGGAGCTGTTGTCCTCTTCCTTAGGGCTGTGTCTCTTCAGACTCTTCTGCCTTCGCTGCCTTTCTGGCTTTTTGCCTCCCTTGGTGTCTAAGGGCACCTTCTCTCCTACTTGGCACAGGTTTGTCATTTGCCACCTCTGCTGTATCTTTGGACATGTTCTTTGCTCCTATGGCTTTAGCTACTATTCTAGTGCTTGCTGTTTTTCTGTTGCTGTGATCTTAAATTCTGGGCTCACGTTAAAATCTACAGTGCATTTTATGTGCAAGAAAAACATCATCTTGTTCTTGAAGTGGGTATGCTGAAGTTCCTTAAAGTTATCTCATTTATCCTAGGATTTCCTTTAAGGTTTTCTTTGTGTGTAGAAATGTTCTTTCTCTTAGGTTAACTGTTGCACTTAAGTTTTTTTTGTGGTTTTTTTTGTTTGTTTGTTTGTTTTTGGTTTTTTTTTTTTTTTTTTTTTTCTCTGACAGTATTTACTTGGGGAGATTCCAGTAATGTTTTCTTTTAAAGGATGACTGGCATTGATAGGTACCCTTTGCTGCTTTGTAAAGTGTAAAGAACTAAGTACTGGCCTTCAAAAAATCAGGAGGAGATGCATTACTGCTTTCAGATGTCAATGCAAGAATGTGTGATCACAGGATTTGCTAAGGCACGTGTAATGCAGGAACAGTAGTCTAACATTAGACTTCTCATCATCAGTGGATGTACATGGTAAGCTCCCTGTGGGTGTTACAAAAATGAGTTTAGTGTAGAACTGAGGGCAATTTAAGTAGTGGCCTTGTAGATTTAGTTCAGGTAATCAGTCATCTGTTGTAGGGAATGCCATGCCATTTATTTTCATTGTACATTCCTTACTGTTAAATAACACAAATTTATGTAAAATCTTGAGGGAGCAAGGAGTTTTCTTCCTCATGTTGTAATGTCTCTCAAGAGTGATCGGTTACTTGAGTATGAGTTTTTATTATTTTTATCCCCCACTTGAGGTTGCTTTTCTTGCTTTCACTACTGAAGCTGAAGTGGTAAAGTGTGATAGCTTAAACATAGGCTCTTATGAGTTGAGATTTTTCCATTAACTTTTGTAGTGTGATTAACCACCTTTGGTTGTGAGCCAAAGATAATGGTCTTTTCCTCATACCTGAGATCTTGCATGCCACATTTCACTGAAACAGAGGTAAGTTGCAGTCTGCCACTCTTACTGGACAAAAAAAAATCTGGGCTGCATTCTTAATTTCCCTAAAGCACACCCTTGTACATAGCCCAGAAAGCATAACACAGTGGATCAGTATAATAAGACAGAGGGAAGGGACCTGTGGGTTTTGGTTTTGGGGGTTTTTAAAATACTTTTAATTACTCATTTTGCTTGTGATACAAGGACCAAATCTGGATAGCAGCATTAATGCTTGATAATTTTTTTGTTTGACAGCTGGATGGTGCTGTTGTACAACAGACTGAAAACAGAAGCACTCCACCCACTACTGACTCTTCCAGGCTTTTTTGGTCTCTTCCCACAGAGGTAGCAGAATTCATCCAATAGAAAGGAAAGATTGGCCCTGTCTCTACACTATAAACAGAAAAGGAGGAGAGGAGTCTAAACATTGCTGGGAAATACGAGATTTCTGTACAGCCTGAGAAGCTTTGGAATATATTCCTTGATAGATTTTTTCACTGTGGTTATTTGATCACAACTAGGCACTGAACAGCAGCTGTAAGCTTTTTCCCAGGTCTGGGTGAATATCCTGATTCCCATCTGTACATTTGGGCCATGTCATTTTTTCGGTTACCCTACAGTGCAAGGCCTTGTCTGGCTCAGAGTTTTCTGCTGCCACAATTGGGTGGGTCTATGCTCTTGAAGATGTTCAAAGGAAGCTCACAAAATTGCAGAGTATGCTGATTTGGAAAGGAACCACAAGGATAATTTGAGTCCAAGTTGTCTACCTCTAGAGTCCTGAAAATTTCTTTGGATTTAGCTGAAACTTTTGAAAGGCAGTGAGTTGAATCTGCTGCTGCTCTGAGTCTCCTTCATGGTCTTGTAATGAAACTTTTTTTTTTTGCACACAAGTTATCAAGACCATGTGCATAGATGAGCTTTAGGTAAAACTTGGAGAACAGATAAGATGAATTTAGAGTACAAAATGTTATGCTGCTCTAATGCATTTGGAGACAACCCTTAACTTGTGTTAAAAATATCTACCTCTTTAAAGTTGGTCTTCCCAAATAGCCATGAAAGAACTATTGTGTGGAAAAACAGTACACCATTGCAGGCTTTTGTTTTCTTGGAAGAATCCGAGGCAAGTGGAAGAAATAGTTCTGTAAGTATTAAAGTAATAAAAAATAAAACAAGCAGACTACTTCAAAATATTTTAATTTTTATTGCAACCTGTTTGATATGAAGAAGAAAAGGGAAGTACTGCATTTATATTAACTAAATGCAGTGGATCAGTTAACTTAATTGTTTTATGACATATATGGTACCATATATAGTAATTCAAGCTACTAGGTTGTGAATAAGAATTTTTTTTCTATACTTTAGGTTTCTACTTTAATGCCTCCTATATCAAAATCCCTTTTTGGAAGAATGGTTCTGAAAATCCTCAGTCATTACTTGCTCTTAAAAGTCCCTTGAGCTATCTTTACCCATTTTATTTCAGTAAAGTGCTATGCACTACAAACACTTCCTGATATCAAGTGACTGGCAGAACACAACAGAATTCTGCATAGGATAAAATTGAGCTAGTATCTGTCAAATGGAAGACAATTGTAACAAGGTGATGTGTAATGACAAAAAAGATTATGCTTATTCAGGTATATGCTATATTCAGTCAATACCTCAATTCTAAAAGCAATTCACAGCTCTAAGATAAATGTAAACTAAGAAATAGGGGCCATCAGCTCACACCTGACTTTGAAGAATCTAAAAATTTTTAATTGATGATAAAATATTGCAATTGTTTTGGCAAAAAAAAGATTTTTGCAATGTTTTTATGGAAATAGCCTGCTGGTAATATTTTATTAGTGTGTCACTCATGGATCTCATTTTTGTTTCCCTGAAACATGTGAATCCATCTGAGCTGTCCTTGTCTGCATGGTTGCATGCAGCTGTTGAAGTGGTCAGTGAATGTGGTTGCATGTTACAAGTAGGGTGGCATTTTCTCCTATTTTTATTAAATAGTGGAATTGAATTCAGTTGCTGAGTTGGAATATGTCAGTCATACAGTGCTTGTTTCAATCTCTAAGTTAGAAAAGGATGGAATGAAGCCAGCAGGACAAATCCTTAGGTAGTGGGGGTACAGTATGAATTTACCACATCCTGCAATATCATTTTTGAGTACTTTCTGGCTGTATTTTTCCTAATGCTGAATGGATTTGAATGGATGTTACTGATAGTCTAAGAAATGCTGTATTTCAGTATTTATCTACGTGACAGGTAAATTAAAGCGGTTCTTAAGTTAAAGGTGACAGTTCAGGATGTTGGAAAAACCCCTTTGACTCTCAGATTGAAAATACACAGGTCTTAAGGGTTCTATATGTGTTGGCTGTTGTGTTGTTTAGACATCAAAAGCCTATGGGTGACAGAAACTTTAATCTCAGAAGTCTCTGGTCCTTCATGTACTACTTTGCACTTTGGTGCTGACAGACTGCTTGTTTCTACTTCAACACTGCTGGGATTTATGGAAAAAATATCAGCCTTGAGGATTGGCTGTGAAGTCTGCTAGGGTGTAGGTGATCAGAAGGAAATTAATTTTTCTGCAAGGCCTTGTTTGAATGGCCATCTTTACAGTCACTCCCTTCAGCAACTACTGTTCCATGTCCTTTCTTCCTTCCTCCAGCAGGTGCCTCTGTGTGATCCTCAGCATTAGTGCTAACAGACCTCTACCCTGAGGCATGTATCCAGCTGCCCAATAGCTGGGGGAAAGGGGATAACCGTTGTTCTTCAGCCCAGCTGGACTTCTGAGTA